TGTGCATATAGTGAACCTGCTACAAAATAGCCATGAACAGAATATTAAAACTGGTTGAAATGCATTTCAAGTGTTGAGAAGCCTTAATGAGAAAAATCCTAGATTGATAAGAATCTTCACAGTTTATAGATACATTCTGTGCAAACTTCACATATCGCTGTTTTGCACAGAATGTGTCTGTCAACTGCACTATCTTCTGTGCAGAATATGCTGTTTCTACATAGAATGTGCAATAATTGGCGAGCTAATTTGCACAATATCCACACATCCTGTTTCCACAAGGAACAAAATCTTCCATACTTAAAAATAACATCTCTCTGTCCCACAATCTCATAGATACACCTGGTAGGAACAAAGGAGAGGGCTGTCTCAATGGTTGCTCCCAGTCTCTGGAGCCTCCCTTCCCAGAAGGTTGGACTGTTACCATCCTTGCTATATTTCCATAGGCAGAACAATACCCTCTGCAAGCCTTTCAGAATGTGCTATTCTCTTTGTTGTTTTCTTCTTAAGCACTTATGCTTTTGATCTCTTTTTAATGTTATTCTTATTTTACAGTTTTGACTTTTGCATGCTATTTTTTAGCCTTTGTAAGCCACTTTAGTCTTGCATTGTGAAAAAGGCATGATATAAGTAACATAATATAAATAAACATAAAAGTATTTGCTACTACTTCTTTGATGTTTTATTTAAGGTTTTCCACCACAAAACTACAAAGCCAAGTCTTGTCTATGATGAATCACTTTCCCCAAAGAAAATATTTAAAACAGGTGAGCATTTTTAACATAGAAAGCAAAATACCACACACAAAATACTATCAATTTTTTGGAAATCACTGCAAAACAGCTGATAGACATTAATGCTGAGTAACTCAAGTAGTAGGCCTCTTTTAACTCATAGGAATGATTGGGTTTTTAATCTAATGTTTTATCATTTTTACTGTTAATTTTGTTTACTTGTTCGTGCTGTATCTTGTTTGTTTTTATATGGGTTGGATGTGTTATTAATTATTTTATTTTATTTTTTTATTATATTTATTTATGTTGTGAGCCATCCCAATAAACTAAACCTGGAGTGGAAATGTAGTCTATCCTTGATAAAGTATCAGATTACCCTGTGTAGGGTGCTCTCAGATCCAGCATTGCTCTCGAAAGGTTACGTGGCTTTGGGAAGCAAGCCTGCCTTTAGCTCCCATTCCCATTCCATCCCTTTCTGGAGAAGTGACATCTGGCCACAGTGATCCATGTCTTAAGCACTTATAGGAACCCCTGGTGGCGTAATGGGTTAAACCCTTGTATCAGCAGGACTGAAGACCGACAGATCAGAGATTCGAATCTGGGGAGAGCACAGATGAGCTCCCTCTGTCAGCTCCAACTCCCCATGCAGGGACATAAGAGAAGCCTCCCACAAGCATAGTAAAACATCAAATATCCACGTTTCCCCTGAGCAATGTCCTTGCAGACAGCCAATTATCTCACACCAGAAGCGACTTGCAGTTTCTCAAGTAGCTCCTGACACAAAAAAAGCACTTCTTGTTCCAATCGGTTAACAGGTTGCCTTGAAAAGTATATGAGAATTATAGCTGGAATCAAATGCCGTGATTAGGCTTCTGTGCATTTCACAAATTGTACAATACCAGTCTTGAACCAAAGTCACTTGACTTCTATTTCTTTTCAGCCCAGTTAAAGATGCTTAAATGGCTTTTGTGGGAATAGGAATGACATTAAAAATAGTGTCCTTTTGCATGTTGCTAATATTTTAGAACTGTTTCCAGAGTTATATACCCCACACTCCAGAGAAGTTAGGCTGGTGGTTCACATATAGGTACTTTTCATGAAATTCTTTTAGTAGGGGGGCCAAATACTTATCAGATTTTCAGTGGCTGCACTGATTTGTCAAATTTGTCGTGCCTTTCAGCAGACTTTATTAATAAAAATTCTAATAAACAAACAAACAATTATGAAAAACTCAATCATTTTCATTAAACAGGTAATGCAACTTCTGAGTTTTTTATTTCTGTTTTTTTCAGTGTCTTAAAAAGGGCAGTTTAAAAAAATAAAGGATAGATAACTAGTCAGTGGAGACTATAAAACCAAGTAAACCATAATAAATTATTTAATTTGTTTGGCAGATGGAAAACCAATGCTGAACAATCAGCAAGAAGGTTCCCTACCCCAAAGTGGAAATGGATCAGCTGTTCCAGCTACAGACAATGCACTACTTACCAACATAAAGACAACAGGCAAAAATAGCAGAAACAAACCTGATGCTTCTAGATCATCTCTATGCATTGTTCTATAAGTATCTCTATGGAAAACTGGAGGATATATTAGTACTTCATAACCAGTCAAGACTAATGCATTAAAAAGTTTCCCCAATGAAAGTTCACCAAAGAGATGACAATGGTAAATATCAACTGTTGGTAGATTTTTCCTGTGACTTAGCCTGACATCAAAGCATCCTAGGAACTCATCAGTTGAAAACATTTTCAGCCTCCTGATACTCTGTCCTTGGCTTTTCTCTTTTCAGCAACTAAAAAAATTAGGTTAGACTTCTGCTGGATTCCAGCCATAGACCAAAATTGAGGAGTCAGGAGAAATATTTATTTTATTTATTTATGATACATATAGCCTGTCTTTCTCAGCCATACGGCGACTCAACGTGGGTTACGTTGATTGCCATAATTCGATGCCAGATATTCATAATAGGGGGGAAAGCTGCTATCATGGTTGCCTGGAAAGAGGTCTGGCTCACTGGGGCAATGACAGCACTCCAAGGCTTGGGCCCCATCTCCACTGCCATGATAATGCAGATTGAATTTATCTAAGCTTCGGCCCACCAAGGAGCTATCCAAGGTTCTGAACCTAGCTTGGAGATAAACATCTTGGAGAGCTTCTTTAAAGGTCAGAGTAAGGTTCTATCTACCCTGCCATATAATGCAGTTTGAACTCATATAATACAGACTGAATGTATTGAACTGGATTATATGAGTCTATACTGCCATATAATCCAGTTCAATCTGCATTATCATGGCAATGGAGATGGGGCCCAAGCCTTGGAGTGCAACCACTTCCCCAATGAGCTAGACCTCTTTCCAGGCAACCATGACTGAGTCTTGATGATGTTGCCAAAAGTGGAAAATGACTTGAGGCAGTTAGCCACAGGGGTTGAAGGATGGGAATATAAACTCTATATTAATATCCCACATCACTACCTTTACTTATTTAGGCTGAGCACAGTATGTTGTCCCACAATAGTAAAAACCTAGGCCTTAATCCTTTTCTTAGAAAGACGCTTAAAGCTGCATCTACACTATAGAATTAATGCAGTTTCGACGCTATTTTGGCATGCTTCAATGCTATGGAATCATGGGAGTTGTAGTTTGATTGGGTCTTTTAACTTTCTCTGCCAAAATGTGCTGGTGGCCCACCAAACTACAGCTCCCAGGACTCCACAGCATTGGAGTCGTCTGTGCGCATTCAAAAGGAGACCTACAAGCCACTCTAAACACCTTCGCAGAAGCATATGAGAAGCTCGGCCTGTCACTGAACATCGAGAAAAACAAAGTGCTCTTCCAGCAGTCACCAACCAATCCCTCTCCAATGCCAGAAATACAATTTAATGGTGTAACATTAGAAAATGTTGACCATTTCCGCTACCTTGGCAGCCACCTCTCCACAAAAGTCAACATTGACACTGAAATACAACACTGCCTGAGCTCTTCGAGTGCAGCTTTTTTCCAAATTAAGCAGAGAATGTTTGAGAACTGGGACATCCGTAGGGATACCAAGGTGCTTGTTTATAAAGCTATTGTCCTCCCAACTCTGCCTGTGAGATGTGGACTGTCTACAGACGTCACATGCAACTCCTGGAACGGTTCCATCAGCGCTGCCTCTGGAAAATCCTGCAAATCTCTTGGGAAGACAAGCGGACAAATGTCAGCGTGCTGGAAGAAGCAAAGACCACCAGCATTGAAGCGATGCTCCTCCACCATCAACTCCGCTGGACCGGCCACGCTGTCCGGATGCCCGACCACTGTCTCCCAAAGCAGTTGCTCTACTCCGAACTCAAGAATGGAAAACGGAATGTTGGTGGTCAGGAAAAGAGATTTAAAGATGGGCTCAAAGCCAACCTTAAAAACTCTGGCATAGACACTGAGAACTGGGAAGCCCTGGCCCTTGAGCGCTCCAGCTGGAGGTCAGCTGTGACCAGCAGTGCTGCAGAATTTGAAGAGGCACAAATGGAGGGCGAAAGAGAGAAACGTGCCAAGAGGAAGGCGCATCAAGCCAACCCCGACTGGGACCGCTTTCCACCTGGAAACCAATGCCCTCACTGCGGAAGATGCTGATCAAGTCACCTACAGATTCACCACCAGCACACCTATCTTGGAAGACAATCCTACTCGGCAACGAGGGATCGCCTAAGTAAGTAAGTAGCATTGAACAGTGGGATTAAAATTGCATTAATTCGACAGCGTAGAGCAGGTATCCTCAACCTGGGGTCCTACAACTCCCAGAAGTCCTAGCCAGCTTGTGGAATGGCCAGGAATATTGGGAGTTGAAGGCCCAAAGAGTTGGAGCGCTGCAAATTGAGTCCTAGATAAGAAAGCCTCAGGCCCCTTCCACAAAGCTGAATCAAATCCCACACTTTCTGCTTTGAACTGGAATATATGGCAGTGTGGACTCAGATAACCCAGTTCAAGTCAGATATTCTGGATTATATGGCTGTGTGGATGAGCCTTGAGAATGCATTGTTTTCTTCCTGAGAGAATTTGTGTGTCAGGAGATTGACAGGTGGGCGGGGCGAGGGGCAAAGGGGGCGGGGCCGCAGAAGGAATGGCGCCCAGCGAACGGGTGCGCGCTTCCAACGGTCCCAAAAGGCAGGCTTAAACTTAAAAGGGAAAGGATTGGAGAGAGAGCAGGCAAGAAGGAGAGCAACCTCGCGCATGCGCTCTTCCCTCCTGTTTCCTTTCAAGGCCCCGCCCACCGCCGCTGCGGGTGAGTGAGAGAGAGAGAGGGAGGGAACCCGGAAGTGGTGGGGGGCGCGCGCGCTCAGTTTTCCGCCCGGAAGAAAAGGATGGAGGAGCAGAAGGAAAACGTTGAGTTTCCCGGAGAGGCGAAGGAGTCGGAAGGAGGCGCTGGCTCGGGCGCGTCGCCGGTGAGTCAGGCGCCCTTCCAAACGATAGGCCTTCCCCTCTGACCCGTTGTCTGCTGGGCGGCCGCATTTTGGTGCCTTCACTTTTGTTCCCAACCCAAGGCGAACCTATCGCGAGATTTACGCAGGAAAGGTTTGCTTTTGCCGCCCTTCAGAGGAGAAGGTTCCCACAGTGGAAGAGCCAGCTGTCTGTTAGCCTTGGCTTATTTATAAGCCTTATTTGTTTACTGTATTGTCGAAGGCTTTCATGGCCGGAATCACTGGGTGGTTGTAGGTTTTTCGGGCTGTATGGCCATGTTCTAGAAGCATTCTCTCCTGACGTTTCTCCTGCATCTATGGCAGGCATCCTCAGAGGTTGTACTACAACTCCTGGTAGGCGGTTAGGAATTGTGGGAGTTGTAGTACAACCTCTGAGGATGCCTGCCATAGATGCAGGAGAAACGTCAGGAGATAATGCTTCTAGAACATGGCCATATAGCCTGAAAAACCTACAACAACCCACTCATTTATTTACATTTACCAACCCACCACAGCTTCATGGCCTCGCTGTAGATGTCTGTTCTTCTCCTTCTCCACTTTAGCCTCACAACAACCCTGCTGGGCAGGTCATGTCAGGTAATTTGCTTCTCCCTCATTTGTATCGTAAGTAAGTTTTGTTTTGTTTTCAAAAGAACACAAAAATAACTCAAACAGTACAAAAAGGGGAAAAATAAGGGGGAGATAAAGACCATAAAATATGTGAGTTGCAGAGCCATGTTAGTCAATTAGTTCTGTACATAAGTCTATTGTATTGTCAGAGACATAAGAATAAGAACATAGAATCATAGAGTTGGAAGAGATCTCATGGGCCATCTAGTCCAACGCCCTGCCAAGAAGCAAGAAAATTGCATTCAAAGCACCCCCCAACAGATGGCCATCCAGCCTCTGTTTAAAAGCTTCCAAAGAAGGAGCCTCCACCACACTCCGGGGCAGAGAGTTCCACTGCTGAACAGCTCTCACAGTCAGGACGTTCTTCCTAATGTTCAGATGGAATCTCCTTTCTTGTAGTTTGAAGCCATTGTTCCACGTCCTAGTCTCCAAGGAAGCAGAAAACAAGCTTGCTTCCTCCTCCTTATGATTTCCTCTCACGTATGTTTACATGGCTATCATGTCTCCTCTCAGCCTTCTCTTCTTCAGGCTAAACATGCCCAGCTCTTTAAGCCACTCCTCATAGGGCTTGTTCTCCAGACCCTTGATCATTTTAGTCACCCTCCTCTGGACACATTCCAGCTTGTCAACATCTCCCTTCAATTGTGGTGCCCAGAATTGGACACAATTTTCCAGGTGTGATCTAACCCTTGTCTTACTCAACTGCTGAGTATGCCTGCCCTGTATGGCATAAATCTGCCCACCTGAAGCAGGTGAAGAAAGCACTGAATGAAACATAGAATAATCACAGGATACCTTAAACCTACACCTGCTGATAGACTTTATAAGCTTGCTGGCATTGGACTCCTGATGTGCAATGGGAAGCTGCTGGCAATTGTGAGAGAAATAAGGTTGAACACTGTGAAAGCCACCCACTGTGTCGCTATCAGTCTCCTTAAATCAAGGAAAAGTTTCATGAGAACCACCACTCCTCTAAATGTTTCCCCAGCAATAGCAAGAGTATCCCAATGCACAGTTATTACTTTCATAGGTAAGCCAATATTTTTGTATGCAATTTTTTTCAAAAAAATATTATCTGCCGCAAAAAAATTAATGTCGTTCTTTCATATTCTTTCCAAATATACACAATGAAGTTGAACACTTAAGCTACCCTGAATTGGATTTAAATGACTCAAATTTGTTCTTTTATTTTTCTCTTTCACGGATGTCAAGTTCTATGGAAGCTTATTTAGACCAAGTTAATAGCCTTTTAGGCTTCCTTCACGTGAATAGTTCACTGTTTGAATAATAAGACTTATATGTCATGGGGGATGGAAGGGCATCAGGATTTTAGAGATGCTTAGGTGGGGTAGGGCCAAAAAAGGGTTGGGAACCACTTAAACTCACCAGCAGTATCCAACCCCCCCCCCCCCCCCAAAAAAAAAAAAAAGGCCTAGCACCCACCCGCCTCCCTACCCCATTTTTTTTCTGGAAAATATCACTTGTCATCTCAATAACTAGGAAATTACTTTGAAAAACATTTTTGTGGAGCTCTCCATCCCCAGGTAACCAAAAACCTACCAAAGCATTCTGAAATCTGACATGAGGCAATGTGTCATTCCTTCCAGTCACCTAAAAACACACTCTAGAAAAGTCAGGATTGTTTGTATGACCCTCTGGAATTGGGAACCTGCATATTCCTGGTTTACTGTATTTATTTTTGTATCAACACATCAGTATGTGATTTCAGTAAAATTATTTTAAGCTTTTGAAGGCAAGAAACATACCCATTTTGATCATTTTTGTGGGTTTTTTCTCTCTCCAAATCCTATCGCCTAGCCTTTTTACCAACGTAAGCAGCGATGTAGATTGGATTGCCAAGACGATAATCACAAGAAATCCATGTCCAGTTCAAGTGACTTCAGTGACCCAGTTTACAAAGAGATTTCTCTGACAAATGGTCACATCAATAGAATGAGCAGACCTGAACTTAGAGCTAAACTTGCTGAATTCAAGCTTGACACTAGGTGAGTATTTCTCAGATGTCCCTTTTTTGAGAACATAAATTTATTTACATATGTAAAGCTGAGACCAATATTGTTATCTTCTGTGTGGGGCTAATTCAAAAAAGCATTTCCAATTTGGAGTAGAAGTTAGGAATGACCATGAATACAATATGATTAGAATAACACTAAAAGCTTTATGGACATAAAGAATTTGAGATTGTCTTTGTCAGAAATAAAGAATTTGAATTATCTGACAGCTACGGGTAATGTGGTTTCTCCTTCTTACATGTTTCCTACACAAGGGATGTGTTCTGGGATCCTTAGCATAATACAATATTCAAATAATCTATTATTCCTTGACTAGACTGTATATGGGTTGCCCAAACTGGGGGGCGGCCATGCACAGGAGATGGCATGTAGCAAGCGATGGCTCACGTGCCAGGAGAGGGCACTGCATGTCCATTCTGGCATGCGTGCCATCTGTTCACCACCACTGGTCTGATGAAAAGTCCCTCTGGTTGACATGCCAGTTGGGTTCTGAATAGAATGTCAGCCTGTCAGGGTATATTATTAATGTTATTTCTATTACTTCTGTAATTTATATTACGTACTCTCTGCCCTTAGACCTCGTCAGATTTATTTGGATCAAATGGTTGTTTTCAGTGTTCTTTGAAGACTAATTTCTTTCCCAGGAGAAATTTTATATTAGGGACAAATTACGGGCTTTTACATCCAAGAAGTTTATGGTAATTCTCTCTAGGTAAATTTATCAAAACCACACTAAAGTTTTCAAGGAACACAGAGTACTGACAGTCCCCGAGTTACAAACATCTGACTTACAAAAGGCTCATACAAACGGGGGCAAGACAACGGGAAATGAGAGAAATCTAGGCTTTGAAAGGGAAATTCACTCCTGAAAAAGTTGTTATGAGGAAAACGTATCTCCAGTGAAGCTTTATCATCATTCCTTGTTTCCACAAATCAAATTTTACAAAATCCAATTGTCCCAGGGACAGAAAGTGAAGTGAAATCTTTTGAACAGGGAACACCACAGAGGTGTTAATCCTTTCCGATGCTAACCTCCCCCCCTCTCTCTAAATATCAACTTACGAACAAATTCAACCTAATAACAAACATACAGAACCTATCTTGTTTGTAACTTGGGGACTGCCTATATATGAAATGGTATATAGTATTTTCCTTCATTAAATCAGTACTGTCAAGTTAACTTTATCTCAGTTTCTTAGGTAGCTTGCAGACATAAGCACTAATATTTTTGTTTCCTTTGGCAGAGGAGAAAAGGATGTATTGAAAAAGAGGTTGAAAAACCACTATAAGAAAGAAAAATTAATGCAGAAGCAACCTTCAAATTCAGAGAATTATTATGATTACATTTGTGTTATTGACTTTGAAGCAACGTGCGAAGAAGGAAATCAGCTTGACTTTACACATGAAATAATTGAATTTCCTATCGTCTTAATAAACACCCGGACATTAGAAATAGTAAGTGATCCCATTCCTTTGCTACTAGATATCAAGAACCAAGAGTAACATATGAGCAGCATAGACCTTTTTCAAAATGTAATTGTATTCAAAGGAAAATAATGTTTAGTTTGTATTCATTTTCAGTTTAAAGGTCATCTAAGGAGGGTATTCACTGGGATTGTGTAATAGCTGGTCTATTTTAACCTTCATTTTAACCTTTGTTTTTAATTTTTGTGGTATGAAATTTTATCTTGACATTTTAATGATGATATTTTTAGTTATCTTTTAACCTAATCAGGTTTGAATGTGTGTTGGTTCGCTGTTGTGGGGGTCTTGGGGTGGTGATTGTTGTCTGTTTGTGCACGTTTCTGTTTCTGTTTTTAATATTGATGCGGTCAATAGACTATTCAATAAACCTTTCATGATCTATAGTTTGTATACATTGTGTAGCTTGCTCTAGAAAGCAGACATGAAGAAAATGTATTTGGATATGAAAGTACACAGGGGCCATGAGAAAATATGCATCAGGCATGGGCAAACTTAGGCCCTCCAGGTGTTTTGGCCTTCAACTCCCACAATTCCTAACATCCGGTAGGCTGTTAGGAATTGTGGGAGTTGGAGTCCAAAACACCTTGAGGGCCCAAGTTTGCCTATGATTGGTATAGATGGTCCCCTAAGGACTGCAGTATAGTCCAGATCTTGAGACTGCATTTGAACCATCAAAGATAATTAAGGTGTAAGCTTTAAGAATTTCTTCTCCATAAAACAGGTATGTAAGGACTTCTCTTTTCTAAATGTTGTATGGAAATTGCGACATCATTGTATTATGTAAAGAATAGATGTTACACGTTGCTTCTGCAGGGCTGTCAAGTGATGCTTTTTTATTTAACTTGTAGGAAGATACATTTCAGCAATATGTGAAACCAGTGATTAATCCACAGCTTTCGGATTTCTGCATTAATCTGACAGGAATTTCTCAGGTAACATTCTCCACATTTGAGCACAGTCATGAACATAAAGGAAACATGCTTATAAAAGTAGGAAAGGAAACTGCCGCAGAGTGTACTTCCTCCCTATCCACATAGCTAGGAAACCACCAGTCCATATATTATGTGGGTCCTCATTGTCATCAGGTATGGCCCGCCAGCTTTCTTTTGCCCCTCCAAAAATAAGAATTAGACTTAGGGAAAAATGGGAATGCTTACACATCTGAAATTGTTTAAGGTGGGCTGTAGAGGAGAAACTGCAGGGAAAAAAGGGTGAAAAGTGGGAGAGCCTGGTGTGCCAGTTCTCCTCACCCAGCGCCCGCCACTCAGCCTTGTAGCAGAGGATGGGCACGCCGCCCGTGGCCTCAGGCTCCTCGAACATCACCTGGGTGGTGCTGGAGTAGGGCTCCACCTCGTCGATGGAAGGCGCGGAGGGTGTATCTGGAGCAAAAAGGCAAGGGGAGCACAGCTGTGGAACACCAGGATGGGCAGGTGCCTGAGCATAATGCCAAAATGCATCTCTTTCTCTGGCACCTCAGACAGAGAATGTAAAGACTTTGGTTTAGATAATGTAGATTGTAGGTAATTCGTTGTTTTGGATGTTAGGAATTTATTATTGCCACACATTGCTGTGTCCCAGTCTGTGTATATGTGTTTTGTATATGTGGTGGCAGAAATGGTTCTCATTGACAGAGGTATATGTCCCCTTCTGGCCCAAGAAATGCTGGATAATTCATGCAGCTCTTTCTTGAAGAATTAGTCTGTCACGATACAGGGAGTCTTTGAAAGTACAGTACATATTGCCCACTGAATGTAATAAATGAATGGAGATGATTTGTTTTTGGAAATGTATCTAAATCCCAATTTGTATTACTCTCTCATCTCATAATTTTCTCTCAATTTTTTAAAATGGTTCTGAGTCTATAATATCTGTGTTTTCATTTACCAGCTGTATTACATATTTACAGGAACGTGTAGACAAAGCTGATGAATTCCCAAAGGTTCTGCAGTCAGTCATAGACTGGATGAAACAGAAAGAACTAGGAAGCAGATACAGCTATGCCATATTAACTGATGGGTATGTAATGAAAACATTATACACATGTTCAGTGATGATACATTGTTTGTTTGTTTTATTAAAATATATCTGGATCAGTTTCATTACCCATAGCGGGAGGGCATTACAAAATTTCTCACAAGCAGCTCCTTCAGTTTTGGTGTATATAAGATTCTGCAAGTGATACTTAAGTAAAAGGAATCCCGAAATTATTCTGTATGCTGTCAACCCACCCATCCATGCAGTCCTTGCTATGCAGTGCTTCTCTTGTATCTGGGTTGCTGTGAGTTTTCCGGGCTGTATGGCCATGTTGCAGAAGCATTCTCTCCTGAAGTTTCGCCCACATCTATGGCAGGCATCCTCAGAGATTGAGAGATATATTGGAAACTAGACAAGGGAGGTTTATATATCTGTGGAATGTCCAGGGTGGGAGAAGGAACTCCTGTCTGTTTCAGGCAAGTGTGAATGTTGCACTTAACCACCTTGATTAGCATTGAATGGCCTTGCAGCTTCAAAGCTTGGCTGATTCCTGCCTAGGGAAATCCTTTGTTGAGAGGCATTAGCTGGCCCTGATTGTTTCTTGTCTGGACTTTCCCTGTTTATTTACTGTCCTGATTTTAGAGTTTTTTAAATATTGGTGGCCAGGTTTTGTTCATTTTCATGGTTTCCTTTCTGTTAAAATTGTTCACATGCTTGTGGATTTCAAGATTGCAGCATATTAAATCACACTTACTAGTTAATGAGACACTAAAGTATTGTACAAAAGAAGTATGATGATTGAAATAGCAGAAATTCAACAAAGTGGAAGAATTTCTCATTGTCGAGTGAAGTTCTTTGAATACAAGTAAATTTTAAAATATCCATTGTTTTAAATATCTAAAATATCCTTTTTTCTTTTGAAAGGTCTTGGGATATGAGTAAATTTTTAAATATCCAGTGCCGTGTAAACCGTCTGAGATATCCTGCATTTGCTAAGAAGTGGATTAATATTCGCAAATCCTATGGGAATTTCTACAAGGTTTGTGTTGTGGTCACTTATTTTCCATTCAATATATGCAAAATTTCAAAGTCCACTAAGTTTCTTTTCCTTGTTAGGCAGAGCAAAGAGCCTAACTGCAAGTTTATAGATTTGTTGGCCTTGTAAATGTTTTAGCCTGTTAATTTCCAGTATTCTTTTTTTGCCGTGCAGGCTGGAGATTGTAGAAGTTTAAGACATACGAAGGATGAATTTTGTGCATTCCTAACTTATTAGGCATATCATAGTTCGGTTTTGATCAAACTCTTTATTTCCAGAGTAGTAGTCACTAAATATGAAACAGAAAACTCTTACTTAAATGAAATGGCAGTGTTTAAAATTTTATGGCAGCTTTAAAACATTGCTTTAGATGTTCTATAATTTTACTTGTTTCATATAGTTTCTAATAAATATATAAGACAAGTAATTTCAGCATTGCCATAGAGGTTCCCTGATCATTGGGCATGCTGTCTGAGACTTTAGGGGGGCCCTACAGGCTCAGTGGGTTAAACCACTGAGCTGCTGAACTTGCTGACCAAAAGGTTGGTGGTTTGAATCTGGGGAGCAGGGGGAGCTTCCACTCTTAGCCCCAGCTTCTCCCAACCTAGCAGTTGGAAACATGCCAATGTGAGTAAATCAATGCAGTAGGTACCACTTCAGTGGGAAAGTAACAGTGCTCCATTCAGTCATGCTGGCCAGATGACCTTGGAGGCATCTCAGGACAATGCCGGCTCCTTGGCTTAGAAAATGGAGATGAGCACCCCCCCCCCCTCACCAGGTGAGAACAAGACACCTGGAAGAACAAGGTTTCAGTACTAGCATGATAATAAACACATGATTTGTTGTTCAAAGAGTTTGAAACAGTTGGGAAGATTAAACATTTCTTGTAGTATGTACAGATATCCCATTGTCATATTACTTATGCAGATCTTTTGAATTTTATCTGTTACTACATAGTGCTGGCAGTAGAAACACACTTTGTTTACTACATTGTGGATTTCTGTTTCCAATCTTATCCCCGTTTTCCAGTTGACTTAAAGCAAAATGTCTTTGACACCAGTAGCTTGTTCCTCTCTCCAGCCCTTAATATATTTCTAATTACTGTTTCAAATGGAAGCATTTATATTTTTCCACTTAATAAACATAAAAAACAATTTTATGTAGTGAGTTTCACATAATGCATTTTGTGAAGTAGTAAAATAGGTTAAGACATAACCAGAATTTTCTCACACACTGTGCCTTCTAAATGTGTGGAAGCTTTACATATCTGCTCAATGATAGTAGAACTTAGTGTGGCCGGGAGCTCTGCCTGAGAATGAAAACTTTTTAGACAAGTCTTTCAGAAGTAGGCACTGCCTGTCTACTTACAGCTCTATTAATGTAGTTTACTAGAAGTATTGCCTCTATTCCAGTGCCTGCTGCCCAAAGAAGCTTTTGGTTCACCTACAAGCAGTACCTTGCAGCAGACTAAGTTCAGGTCAGAGTGGGGGAAGCACAAGGAAACACATCTCAACCTGTGCACAGAAGCAAGGTCATAAAGAGAATAAGAGGAGGCTTGTAAGTCTTGCCTGATGCCAGTCAATACAATATGAGATAGTCCATCTGGGAGCAAGCACAAGCTTATGTTTACTGCTTAAGTATCAAGCCACACCCTCTCACCTCTGTATCTGAAATACTTTCCCAAAAGAAATACTTTCCCCACCCTTGAATCTTTCCAATCCAGCCTAAAAATTCAGATTTTTAAGCAGGCTTTTAACTTCGAGTAGGTTGAAATGGGCCCATATGAGGTTGACACACTGCACTTTAGTTGTGGATTGATAGCAACTAGTTTTACCTACAGTTGGTCTGCATTTTAAAATTGTGCTATTTTATTTTATATGTGTTTGTAGTGGTTGTTTTATCATTTCTATGTGATATTGTTTTATACTGATGTACCATTTATGTTATATGCTACACCCTGGAGTGCCTTTGTAAGCTGCCCCAAGTCTCCTTGGGGAGATGGTGGTGGGATATAAATAAAGATTATTATTATTATTATTATTATTATTATTATTATTATTACTATTACTATTACTAGTTAAATTATAAATTCCATGCCATCAGAACTCCTTCAGGTACTCAAAACTTCATCAGTCCCACAAAGAGAGGTCATTGCAATTCCAGGAAGGAAGAATGAGAAGGAATCTTCAAGAGATTGTTAGCTTACAGTATTTTCCTATGTTCTGTTCCAAAGGAGACTCAAAATTATTCAACATGCTATAAAAGGTTGTAAAGTCTTACCTGTGACTCCAGCTTCAGTTTCCTTCTGCCCAGTATTAGAGATCGATTTCCTTCCTGTTTTTGTATAAGCCTACAGTTTATTAAGGCGAGACAATCAAATTATGTGCATGTATAGGCCCATTCTCCTCTCAGAATGGTTACTTCAAAATGGTTTGTTTTTGTCAGGTTCCCAGAAACCAAACTAAACTGTCAACCATGCTTGAGAAGCTTGGAATGGACTATGACGGCCGGCCTCACAGTGGACTTGATGATTCCAGGAACATTGCACAAATAGCAATTCGTATGCTCCAGGATGGATGTGAGCTCCGGGTGAATGAGACATTGTATGATGGACAGCTGATGACAGTCCCTTCCTCTGTTCCAATAGGGGGCGCTCCTGTACCACAGATGCCTGGATTTCGATAGGCTATATCTGAGTTATGCTCAATTAAGGACCTTATCCAAAACTAGCAAGGACGTCGGAAGACTATTTCCATCAATTTAAAAATTTGCCACCAGCATTTTTAATGTTTGTTCATTTTTATGCCTCTCTCCGTTGGTCATAATAAGTCTAATGTAAGTTGTCCAAGTGGTTGTGAACATATTTTTTATAAGCTAAACTAAGAAAGAAATGAAGAAAGAAATGTACCATTTATGCTTGACTGCCAAACAAAATAAGCCTTACCATCTGTTAGCATTCAATAACTTTGTTTGTTTGTTTGATGCAACATCACAGATTACTTTGTCCATCTTAAACCCAATTAGCAAAATTTCATTTTTTCCCCAAAATTGTTTTAGGGTTCTGCCAAGCCAAAGTTAGGCACTTTTTAGTCTCATTAAGTTCAGCTAACACACATGATGTAGTGTGACTTATTCAGGGCCACTCTACCTCTGTTGTAAAAATGTAAGAGAATAGGCATATTTCCTTAATTATTTAGTAGACAATGTATCTTGGACTTGGATGTGAATATTTTATTAGCTCATTCCTATGACCAAAATAACTTTTTACTCTTTTTTGTGTACGTGTATATTCTAAATAACCACATTATTGGAAGAGATTGTAAACTCTTATTTTGAAGTTTCAGATCACATTTTGGAAGTTCTGCCCTAATTAAAAGAATCCAGTTTCTAGTAATACAGAAAAAACATTACATATGTATGTCATATTTGAATATCTGAATGCATAGCAATAGTTGGTTTAGCCTTTTGCACTCATTTGTTGATTACATTTTTATTATTCCCCTTTGCTTAGATTAGACCAACCCTATTTTATCTAGAGAGTGAGATAAACAAAAAGTTGTTAGCTCAAGTCATCCAGTGAGCTTTGTGTTTGAATACTGATTTTAGCATAGATTTTCCATGTCTGTCACATTTGTTCTATGCTTCGGTGTGTAATATAGAATCTTGTCCTGAATATTAAGATAATTTCATTTGAGTTGTCCAAGTGGTTGTGAACGTATTTTATATGCTAAACTAAGAAATGAAGCATCTCATGTTTTATTTTTAATCCATCTCCTTTGTACATCTTCTTGCCAATTTTCAGGTTAGAGGTTTATATAGTATATTTTTCACTTTTTGTGTCTTAGCCTTTACTGTAACAACACCAATTAGTCTAGTACATATTTCCAGTCTCTCTGCACCCCCATCCCAACTGCATGGCACACACTAGGCATGTGCATTTGGGCCAAAAGGCATGCCGTTTTTGGGCCCATTTTTGTCTGACCCCTCATTTTGTTTACCTGAAAGTTACCCGAAAGGGGAGGGGTGTTTTCAGTTTCATTTGGCAGAGATTCAGCCATTGGCTACAATGGAAAATTTTAAAGGCTTAATCCTCAGCCATTTCAAGGCCTATCTGCATGAACCCCACCTCAGTTGTAGACCCCATTTACAACTGCAGACCTGCCAAACTTTCAAAACAATTTACCAATCTACTGATTTTTTTAGAATTATTTTAAGTTTCAAACATAACATTTGAGAATTGTAGTCACTGGTTGTGTCCATTCTCAGCCAATCAGAGCATGGACACCACCAGGCTTTTTATTGGCTGAGAGACACAGCGAGAGAAAAACTTCAACTCCCATCATGTTCTGAGAGGAACTTTGAGTGGTCACCTATGCTAGTATCACTGGGAAAGCGAGTTTCTGGGGCCCTCTCTGGAGGAGGAGGCAATTTTCCAAGAAAAAATGGAGGAGGCTTCTTCTGCCGGGGAGAGAAAAAGATGCCACCAATCCCCCTGCCCCAAGTATTTTGTGGACTTAACTCTTTCTGAAAATTTCATCTCTCTGAATCCATTTGGGTGGTCTTTTAGTCTCTCTCTTCCTCTTTCTGTGTTTGGAAATTAAGAACAGCCCTCCGAAAACTACAAATCTTTTCATTAACAGTGATTTGGGCCCAAGTCTAGCGCACAGTACTGATAATACACAGTTGGTATGAAAACATGCTGATAGAAACAGCTATGATTTAAATTACAACTTACATAAGAATTACACCAGGCATCCTCAAACCATGGCCCTCCAACTGTTTTGGCCCCAAACTCCCAGAAGCCCTAGCCAGCTTGTTCAATGGTCAGGAATTCTGGGAGTTGGGGGCCCAAACAGCTTAAGGGTGCCTGAATTAAACCATACACCATTTGGTTAACCACAAGCAAAGGTATCCAACTTGCAGCCCTCCAGTTGGCTAGGGATTCTAACTCACAGAAGCCCTAGCCAGCTTGTCCAATGGCCAGGGATGCTGGGAGCTGAAGTCCAAAACACCTAGAGGGCCACAAATTTAACACCACTTTAGCAGGATGCTAATCCGGATTGAACCGTTGTCTGACTGAGTCAGACTTTTCTGATGTTCCTCCATTATCTTTGCATTGGAGAAACCCTAATATAGCCTCTGGACATTGTATTCTTGCATAAAGGGGATTTGAAAACACACACACTCAATGAAGCAGGGTAGCACATAGTCTTATGAAACCAAATGAACTTTTAAAAATCACATGTAGTAGGTCAGCAGCAGGTTGTTGAACTCCAGGTAACAGAGTGCCACCAGACACCTGCATGCTATATGTATGATAACGGCTTTAAAAAGTCCTGCTCCAAGGTTGCCTTGATTTATCTATTAAACTAGTTGCTAAACCCATCTTAAGGGCTAGGATCTAGCCACAGTTAATCATGTTTTAAATTCCTATGGTTACAGCAAAAGATCTGTGAGCAGATTGCTCCAAATCCAGTTGCAATTTCCAGCTATAGTAAATCCATCAAGTACAGTAAATATTTTATATATGTGTTGACTTATTCACCTATTGAGTTAATAGATATACTTTACTTTATACTAGTAATTGAATTCAGGCATAAATGCATTTCCAGCTGAAACAAACAGATTATAAAAACCTTCAACTTTGAATAAATGGACATCTCTGTTCCTGGAGACGTCAGACCAAGCCATGGAAACACATGTTTTAGTCACATCCTGTTTGGATCATCATGCATTTCATGTGGGGATGTTTTTTTAAATTGCACACAAACTTTAGTTGGACCAAAGATCTGCTCAATTTGTTGAACCTGCTAACCTCATGGTTTCAGAAGCCCAGGATATCTTGCTATCCAGAAGGCCAAATTAGACGGGGTAGAAGGCAAAAGCAGAGGTTTATTCTCACTGACCAGAGAAGATGTCAGCCGAGAAAGCATCCAAAGTACTGATACGCCGCAGTTGCAAATATAGAGCATTTTTATTTCATTTGGTAAGTATTTTTTAAAAACTTGTCCAATCTCCTGATTAGCTGAAAAACGTTCCGGCTAGGATCCGTGTCCTAAGTGGCTCAAGATTCTGTTGACTTACTTTGCTGATTGCCTCTTCATATGGCGGGAAATTCAATAAACTGTTATTAGATCGTCTGAAGTGTCAGTCCATTTAATTGTCTGTGAAAGGGACAATTAAAAGGAATGTGTGCCAATATTGTAATAAGTCTTTGATTTATTTAATGGATTAGCTCTGGTAAATACAATAGGTTTCATCCAGTGGACACAATAGTTATATGCGGATGGACCGTCTCAATGGATGAAATCGACTTGGGGCATGGGTGCTGTATCTTTCTCACAGATAGCCCTAATCTTATCAATGGGAGCAGGAAATGGACTTGGGGAACTCAAACATACGTCCATTGTCTTTGGATTATGGAAATTACAGGTTTAGGTGCAACCAGACAACATTCTAGAGATAATGTATACACCTGATTAAGGTGAAAGGCACAGGCTCACTAGGTTTTGTGAAACCAGGGTTTCTGTTTCATATAATTTAATATCTATATAAATAAAAATGTAATGTTCGTTTGTGGGATTAACAGAACTCAAAAACCACTGGATGAATTGACATCAAATTTGGCCACAAGATACCTGCTAACCCAAGGAATGACCATCATGAAAAAAAATGATTTTGTCATTTGGGAGTTGTAGTTGCTGGGATTTATAGTTCACCTACAATCAAAGAGCATTTTAAACTCCACCAGTGATGGAATTGAACCAAACGTGGCACACAGGACTCCCATGGCCAACTGTGGACTCAAACACTCTGGACTCAAACAATGATGGATCTAGACCAAACTTGGCACGAATATTCCACAAATATTCCATGATGGAGTTTGGGGGGAATAGACCTTGAAAATTGGGAGTTGTAGTTACCTATAATCAAAGAGCATTCTGAACCCCACCAATAACACAATTGGGGGGACTTCCCACACAGCACCCCCATGACCAACAGAAAATACTTAAGGCCATTCACTCCACCTCCCTTCACCAGGGCAAGAAAACGTAATCAAAGCCCTCCTGGCAAAGAGCTATTCAGCCATAGATATAGATAGATATGAATCACACACACACAGATATAGTATCATAGATTTGAAAGGGACCCCTAAAAAAGGACAATTATATGTTGCCTGTTCCAGAGTAAGCAAACCAGACAATCTCCACATCAACACTGACAAAGACACAGCAAGAAATACTGTTTACCCACAAACATAAACAAATTACATATATTAGAAACTAACTCTTTCTAATTACTTTAATTTCCAGATCACCAGACGGCCACAGGAACACGTGGCAGGGGACAACTAGTATTTCATAATTTGAAGGTTCAGTTTCTTGATATCAAAATTGTTATATAGGTCTGACTACAGGGAGCACAACTTCCTTGCTATAGCAGCTCTATTGACTACTAGTTTGTGCTGGTTATAATTTGCAAAGCTGCATATGGTTTAAGCCCAGTCTAATAGACTGCACTTTCTATATGAATGTGCCCAGGCCCTAACATCTTCAGGAAAGGGATTTTAGTCTGGTAGGGACTTGCATGTCTGGTAGGGACTTGAGGCAAGTCCTCCTTAGTGACTGCCCCTCCTAAGGCTAAAATGGCTCTTGATCTTCTTGTGTTGGCAGGCATTTTTTTTATTGTGACAGTCTTTTAAAAGCTCACTATTTTTAAAGAAAGGGTTTTTGATAGGACCATGTACAGCTTTTAACTGTGCTGTTGTCAAACTTTACTTAAGATTTTTAACTGAATGTTTTAAATTGTTTCTAAAGTGATTGAAAGCATATAATTTACTGTTAACCTTTTGTATATTTTAGGTATACTTATATTTTTGCTATATTTTATCTGTTTTAAAGGGTTTTTTTGCGGTGGGGGGAATTTGGGATCCAAATCAAACACTTTGTTTTCTCTTTATCATCATTGTCTTAAGTTTTAAAAATATTTTGCAAACACTGAACCAATGAAAGACCAACAAGCATTTTGATGCACATCTCCATGAAGACTACTGGTCGCAGGTATACCATACCGATCTGGCTGGATACATCTTTATATGCACATGGACCTGTACATGAGATGTTGAACTAGAAGTAAACCATAATTTATGGTTTGGTTGGCTTTTATCACACACTCTCTCTACATCAGAAGTGACTCTTCCAATGTTGTTGAAGACTACACCATTACTTGTCACCATTGCCTGCACATGCTAAGACACATCCTGTGATCCATGTTACCCAGAACACTGGGCCTATCATTCACCTAGAACTACCGGAACAAGAGTTGGTTACATGCTGCAAGTTACTTCTGGTGTGAAAAAATCGGCTGTCTACAAAGACATTGCCTAAGGGAAGCCCAGATGTGTCATGATCCTGTGTGTGTGGGGGGGGGGGGGTGTCTCTCCTATTTGGCAGAGAAGGCTAAACAATCTTGTAAAACCACTTTTCCCATTATTCTAAAGCACTGAGCTCTGTCAGTTAAAATAGTGTCAAACTGGCCACAGTGGTCCACACTCTTGTTACATCCCRAATAAATTACTGCAACGCGCTCTATGTGGGGTTGCCTTTGAAGACTGTTCGGACTGCCAACAGGAGCATCATAGAGAGAGCATGCCACACCTCTGTTATGTCAGCTCCACTGGCTGCTGATTCAGTTCCGAGCACAATTCAAAGTACTGGCCTTGACCTATAAAACCCTATACGGCACCTGTCCGAATGTATCTCCTTC